TACTCCGGCAAGTCCGAAGACAAACCCAATGTAATGGACATCATTTCTCTGTCATCATTAAGTAATTTCTGAGGCCTGTCCCTTCTCTTCTGTACACGGGTTTTTTCTTCCTCAGCACTTCTTGGATCATTTTGGTTAGTGACAGCCAGCTTCTTTCCCTTTGCTTTAATCCTATCCATAATCTTCAACTCCACAGGTATCACCCAAGTAATATAGATTTCTGGCAAACAAAAGAACCACTAATTAAATGTCGCTTGGGTCGATACAAATTTATAGAAGACTAAAGTACAAGTACAATATTTCATAGTATCAGAACAAACACATTACAAGATCTTCATATACCTAAGCAGTTGCAGCCTTAGTACAGTGAATCAATATGAAACAAAAACAGATTTTCCAATCTTTAAGCATCATTACTTGCAAATCACAAGGCACAACAGGAACAATTTTGATAACTCAAAATGTCAAACCTACCATGTCAAATTTTGATGGGTATTTTCTTCTCTTCTTAGGTATAAGAAATTTAATGATAATCGCTTACTGTGTTCAATTCTCCTGTGAAATTTCATTTCATTTTTATACATTGCAACCATTTATTCATGTAGACCACATGTATTCATTTAAATGTTGTAAACTCGTCTCCCTTATATTTTATCTTTAAGGCACATCTGGGCAATGTCCTATTCTGAAGTCATTTTCCAATAAAGTAGGAGTCTTATTCTGCTGCCATAGTTCGCCAAACACTTATAAGAGACTAGATACTGAGCCTGAAAGGACATGATAGAGATTAAGAGAAATTCTTCAGGGAATAACAAGTGCCAATCTTCAAAAAAATTCTAGTTTTTCCCCCCCAATTAAGATCTAATAACAAGTGCCAATCTGGATAAAATCTTTTGTCATTAAACAAACTCAAACTTCAAATACTACTTCAAATAAGCTAACCAAATACTACACTTAATGAGGATTGCTTACAGCAGCCAGGTAGAGCACAGAAGTTATCTTCTTCATCACTTTATTGCTCCAACTTTCACTCAACCCACACCAATGTGGATATAGCTAAGTTCCTCGTTAGAAGCAATATTTGTAAACCATCTTAGAAACAAATACAAAAAGAGGTTCCCCATTAGCACTAAAAGGGCATTGTCATCTAAGTTCTTCAACAATGTAATGGAAGAAAACTTAACTGTTTGTTCATTTCAGCCGGATCTACAAGGAATCTCACAAATCTCATCTCAAAACACCAAGTGATTATTTGGTATATTATTAGACAGGCTTTTTCTTAGTACTTTCCAGTGCTATCCAACCCAAAATGTTATAATTTCAAGTATCCAAAATATTACAATTTTTATTCGCTGCAAAAAAATTCATCATTCTACAAAATTTGTACAAAAATGGGAGCTCTCTCGAAGTTCCCGCAAGGTCAAAATGATTCTTAGCAATAAAACTTCAAGAAATTGAAAAATTGAATTTCTTGACAAGCAAAAACAAGGAAAAATTAAGAAATCAAGATCAAAACTTACAAATGAAGATGAAAATCTAGTTTGCAGAATCTTGGTCAGAATTTCACAACGGCTGCTGAGAGAAAGATGGACTGAAATTTCGTTCTCTCACAAAACGAACTCACCAACTCTGTTTTCTCACTTCATC